GCATTCCTCACCCTTTCCCCTTGAAGCTGCATTCCATTTACAAGTGTTTCTCTGGCATTTACCACTTGAAAGCACTACGGAGGAGTGTTCAAGACAGGCTGGTGGGAGGATGTGCTGGAGCTCTGCTCCCTCCCACGCTCCTGGGTTCCCTGCAGCAGAGGCAGGGGCTGGGCACCATTTCAGCCACCCCTTTGGTCCCTGCAGCTCAGCTCAGGGACAGCATTAGCTTTGTTTTATTGAGGGGACATGATTTGTTCCTTTCCAGTCTCCAGATATCACTGTGCCTCTTGGCTTTGCCCCCAGGGTAAGCATAGCCCATACAAATGTCCAAGGGGGTGGTAAGCTCTCCTCTACCTCTATCTGCATGGAAATATCCCGTATTTCTAGGCAGAAAGCAATCTCATTTAATGGGCTACCCACACTGAATCCACTTACAACCCATCCACTTATTAGTGTCATACAAATGAAATAAAATACATGTAAATAAAGACCTTCTGCCTTGCACGCAGCTGTTTTGGAGCAGAAGTGATCATCGCCTCAGTCTTTTTCCCTTCGTCTCTCACGCACGCAGGAGAGCTGGGGTTTAATGAACTAGATATAAAGCGAACAGACGCGGTGAGAGCCACTCGTGTTCGAGGAGGGCAGGGAAATGGGGCTGGAGCAAAGGGTAGCTCTGTGTCTGAGGAGCACATCTGCTCTGCCTGGGTGTGGAGACCAAATCTAGGCTGGCATTGCGACTGCACCACCAGTCCCCAGCTTCTTGCTGTTGCTTCTCTGAGAACCTCATGAGTTCTGCTGTAGCCCCCATGCTCCTGGTTGCTGTGGTTGGGTGTCTAGCAGCTCTGGTGGGGTCTTACTGGGTGACAGTTGCTCTCCGCTGGTGTGTGGCTTTTGGTGGATGGTGATGCTGAGCTGTGCTGCTGGTGGGGAGCGTGATGGGGAGAGGGGCAGGAGGGATGAAATGCAGCCAAGTAGAAGTGTCTACTCTGCCTTGCTGGACACTTCTGTGAGCTTTTTCCTCTCTCCCACAGCCACTGCATCCAGCAGATCCTGGAGGCTGTCCTGCACTGCCATCAGATGGGGGTGGTCCACCGGGATCTGAAGGTAGGAGCTGCAGCGGAAGGGCCTGTGGGAGGATGTGGGGATCCCATCTGTGATACAAAGCCCTGTGGAGCAATGCCCAGTATCCTCCAGGGCAGCTGAAACATAGCAGAGAGGAGCACTGCTTCAAAGTGTTCAAAGACCAGCTCTGGGGTGAAACAGCACAAAGGAGAGGGGGTAGGGAGGTCCCTGTAGTCCATGGTCCTCCAAAGATCCATGGACATCGTGGCACACAGCAGGACAGAACGGTTGGGTAGCACATCCAGAGCCCTGACCTTCCTCCGTGCTGTGCTGGGAAGCCCCCCACAATAGCAGAGCCTCCGGGGGGGTTCACTCCACTCCAACCCCTGTCTCCTCCTGCAGCCTGAGAACCTGCTGCTGGCATCCAAGCTGAAGGGTGCTGCTGTCAAACTGGCTGACTTTGGCCTTGCCATTGAGGTGGAGGGGGACCAGCAAGCGTGGTTTGGTGAGTAGGGCCAGCCCGAGGTGGGGCATCCTCCAGCCCTCGCTGATGTGTTTGGTCGGGGGGGGCTCCAGGAGGGACGTGCATCCCCAGGACTGGAACTCCAGGCTACAGGAGTGCCCTGGCAGCACCAGCCTTGGAGGCAAGGTGGATGAGGAGGAGTCTGATGGCTCCAGCTGTGTCCCTGGAAACAGCTTGGTATTGATCCATGGCACAGGCAAACAGCTCCACAGGGACGTGGTGAGTCACTGAGATGTCCTGGTGAGCTGGACAAGCTGGTGGCAGGGATAGACTTGGGGAAGGAAAGCCTTGTTCAAGAGCTGGAGGTGCACACCAGAGCACCCCAGCCTTCTGCACCATCCTGGGGTTTGGTTGCTGTTCCTGTTTGCTTGGGAGACACAGAGGTTTCTGGAGGGAGGGAGGGAGGGTGCCCATCCCACCAGCTCAGCGTGTGCCCGGGCT